TTTTCTGTGGTCAGAATGAGGCTAGAGTATACCACACTATCGTGTCCATCACGCTAGAAGATTGCTTGGTATAATGACAGTTTTCTGTGGTCAGAATGAGGCTAGAGCATACCAAACTATCGTGTCTAACTAGCTAGAAGATTGCTTGGTATAATGACAGTTTTCTGTGGTCAGAATGAGACTAGAGTATACCACACTATCGTGTCTAACTAGCTAGTAGATTGCTTGGTACAGTGACAGTTTTCTGTGGTCAGAATGAGACTAGAGCATACCAAACTATCGTGTCCATTACGCTAGAAGATTGCTTGGTCTAATGGCAGTTTTCTGTAGTCAGAATGAGACTAGAGCATACCAAACTATCATGTCAAACTAGCTAACAGATAGTTTGGTACAATGGCAGTTTTCTGTGGTCAGAATGAGACTAGAGTATACTAAACTATCGTGTCCATCACGCTAGAAGATTGCTTGGTATAATGACAGTTTTCTGTAGTCAGAATGAGACTAGAGTATACCAAACTATCGTGTCTAACTAGCTAGCAGATTGCTTGGTACAGTGACAGTTTTCTGTGGTCAGAATGAGACTAAAGCATACCAAACTATCGTGTCCATCACGCTAGAAGATTGCTTGGTATAATGACAGTTTTCTGTAGTCAGAATGAGACTAGAGCATACCAAACTATCATGTCAAACTAGCTAACAGATAGTTTGGTACAATGACAGTTTTCTGTGGTCAGAATGAGACTAGAGTATACCAAACTATCGTGTCCATCACGCTAGAAGATTGCTTGGTATAATGACAGTTTTCTGTAGTCAGAATGAGACTAGAGCATACCAAACTATCATGTCAAACTAGCTAACAGATAGTTTGGTACAATGACAGTTTTCTGTGGTCAGAATGAGACTAGAGTATACCAAACTATCGTGTCCATCACGCTAGAAGATTGCTTGGTATAATGACAGTTTTCTGTGGTCAGAATGAGACTAGAGTATACCACACTATCGTGTCTAACTAGCTAGCAGATTGCTTGGTACAATGACAGTTTTCTGTAGTCAGAATGAGACTAGAGTATACCAAACTATCGTGTCTAACTAGCTAGTAGATTGCTTGGTACAGTGACAGTTTCCTGTGGTCAGAATGAGACTAGAGCATACCAAACTATCGTGTCCATCACCCTAGAAGATTGCTTGGTATAATGACAGTTTTCTGTAGTCAGAATGAGACTAGAGTATACCACACTATCGTGTCTAACTAGCTAACAGATTATTTGGTACAATGACAGTTTTCTGTGGATAAAATGAGACTAGACTATACCAAACTATCATGTCTAACTAGCTAGCAGATTGTTTGGTACAACGACATAATAATCAAACGAATTTTATGCGAAAAATAAAGGAAAAACAGACAGATTTACTTTGAAAAGTAGAAAAGGCATTGTTATTAGAAGTTGTTAGGGTAGACTGTTTTACTGTACAGTTGATTGAGTTGATGACGTTACGGAACGCAGACGGTAACGAGTAAACTAATAACATATCTCACGTAATCTCTACAAGGTAAAGAAAAAAGAATTGACGATTTCTTGGTAATTTGTGTTATATTTGGCAATGGTTGTTAATTTGAGATAAGAATTTGTAGAAGAAATGTAAGGACGATAGAAACTGTATTTCTGTGGGTCAAACTCTGTTGATATAAACCTATCAATATTGGCACGGAGGTTGTCGCACTATTGATGTTTTGTGGACATTGTTGTTTGTTACTCTATTTATTTGTTTACTTTGGATACCATGTTGTTTAACTTGGAGACGTGTTTATTTACCCGATAAAACAGCAAGTTGGTGTTTATTGGACGCCAGTGTCTATCGGTATGACCAGCTCGTCGCTTTATCAACTTCCCCTGTTTGGCTAGCAGGACGTTTTTATCGATTGGTACAGAAAAAGTGGTTTGGCCAACCAACCCTGCCCAGGGGAGTTGTTCAAATTTTCTTCAGTTTGGTAGAGTTTTAACTTTGGTGTTCCAATTGTTAAACGTAAGGTAGGAATTGCGATCAGAAAAGATTGTCAGGTCTCTTTGACCAAAGGTGTCGGGACTGTTTGTGGTCCGTTTTTATACCAATACCCAGATAATAATGGTTTATTACCTCTTAGAATGACCAAAAAATAAAAAATTTAAAATTTGGTTAAAATGAGTCTTTATTCATCAGTAGACTTACCTGGTGTTAAAACTATACAACAGAATCTCTCTATAATCTAATAAATCTATAAAACTAAGTAATAATTCATTAAACTAAGTAATAATTTATTAAACTAAGTAATAATTCATTAAACTAAGTAATAATTCATTAAACTAAGTAATAATTTATTAAACTAAGTAATAATTCATTAAACTAAGTAATAATTCATTAAACTAAGTAATAATTCATTAAACTAAGTAATAATTCATTAAACTAAGTAATAATTCATTAAACTAAGTAATATTCATTAAACTAAGTAATAATTCATTAAACTAAGTAATAATTCATTATACTAAGTAATAATTCATTAAACTAAGTAATATTCATTAAACTAAGTAATAATTCATTAAACTAAGTAATAATTCATTAAACTAAGTAATAATTCATTAAACTAAGTAATAATTCATTAAACTAAGTAATAATACATTACACTAAGTAATAATTCATTAAACTAAGTAATAAGTCTAACTGATAAATATATACTCTTATTGGCTAAGTTTGAGATTTTATTTCTATTCTAAGGGGTTGTATTGCTTTAAGTCGGATTTTTAAATCTGGATGTTGTTATTTGCATGTAGTAAAATTACCAGAGAAAAACTATCACATCACTATCATATTCTTCCTGACGACAGGTCGATAGACATTTTTCATCGTGGTGATAAACAATAAATTATGTCCGGATGAAATGTAACACTGACTTACTGCGGGAAAATCACAAGGGCTACCAATTTACGGCGGTATCTGAATTCATAAGGCATTATTGATATTTTCCGAGACAGATATTGAGGTGTGAATATACCAGGTGCAGTGTCACTGTCAACCGTGTCACATCGTGTTCACCTCCAGTCTAGACCCCATACCTCGTCCATTCACTTCTTCCTAAGCCCACTCTATAACCTCATATAGCCTAAACTTTTATTTTCTCCTGTAAAGACGTACCTCGTGTATCTATTTTTATTGTCAACTGTATCAATGACCACCACTGGACGTCGTACCCCGTCCCATAATGTAACGTCAAAGGTGGAAAACTGTTCATTACATCTCAGAAATTCCACGTCCCGGTGAATTAATCGCTTTACTATGTTTATGGACATGGAAATGTGGACGTATATTGCCGTCGTATATTGCCGTCGGTTCGTCACAATAGAAACTACAGTTTTCAACTGATTGGAATGGAATTTGGTGTGATCATTTATATTGATGAGACCTTGGTCAAGTTCGAATTTGACGATTTTTCGATGAACGTTTTTTGAGTTATTGTCCTTGAACACAATAGAGACTACAGTTTTCAACTTAATCGAATTTGGTGTGATCATTCATATTGGTGAGATCTTGGACAAACTCGAATTCGATGATATTTCGATAAAAAGTTTTTGAGTTATTGCCCTTGAACATTACGTCGTATTGTCATCCTGCACATGAGAATCATCAATTAGTTGATTTATTTAGTATTTTTTAATTAATCTATTTCAGATCAACATGTTCAGCATATTATTAGTAATTTTAGTATTAGCCTCCAATTCACCGGTAGTTCGAGGTGAGTCTATAATCAATCTGATTGGTTGAATATCAAATGCCTGACCATTTCGTCAGATCATTAACGGAAAGTGAAAAAAAGACCCAGGAAAATGAACATTCATATATTATGCATTTAGTTTGAAACGAAAACCCCGAGTTAGTGTTACAGGTACTCTAACTCGATAGTACGGTGTACCTGACGCTCAATGTTTAATACTTTTTTAGAATTAGTACGAATTAGTAAACAAAACAAATGTGTTTTCAATTCATTTCTTTTTATGTTTTCGCCGAGTTAGGTTAATACACCAACATATTGGAGGCTTGTACCTCTTGAAATCTTAAACACGACAGTTGTCCCTCCCCGACCTCCATTAAGTAAGTTTGTCCCCTATTTGTACCCTCAAACGGCTGCCACGTTTACTGACCGACCTCGACAAACAATCAACTCTATTTATTCTGTTTCAGGCAATAAAAAGGTGTTTTGTTACTACAGTAGTTTTGCTCAAACTCGAGCTGGAATCGGCAAGTTTCTACCAGAAGATATCGACCCCTTCCTGTGTACACATGTTATATATGCTTTTGTTGATATTTCACCCAATGGTCGAGATCTGCTCAAGTTTAACTGGAATGACGACGGACCTAATGGTGAGTCATTCATTCATTCATTCATCCATTCATTCCATTTACTCCATCCATTCATTCATTCATTCCATTTACACCATCCATTCATTCCATTTACTCCATCCATTCATTTGTTCATTCATTCTATTACTCCATCCATCCATTCATTCATTCATTCCATTTACTCCATCCATTCATTCATTCATTCCATTTACACCATCCAGTCATTCATTCATTCATTCCATTTACACCATCCATCCATTCATTCATTCATTCCATTTACTCCATCCATTCATTCATTCGTTCCATTTACTCCATCCATTCATTCATTCCATTTACTCCATCCATTCATTCATTCGTTCCATTTACTCCATCCATTCATTTCATTCATTCCATTTACTCCATTCATTCATTCATTCCATTTACTCCATCCATTCATTCATTCGTTCCATTTACTCCATCCAGTCATTCATTTAGTGTCAATAGCATCAAAATAAAGTTGTAATTTATTTTCCAGGTTTATACGATAGAACAATATCATTAAAAAGTAAAAACCCTCAGTTGAAAGTTTTACTGGCTGTAGGTGGGTGGCAGATTGGCTCTAAACCTTTTATACCCATGATTTCTAACGAATCCAACAGAAAACAGTGGGTGAAAAATGTCGTCAGATATCTCAGAAAGTAGGTGGTTTTGTTTAAACTCGTTTTACTCTTTATATTTCTAGATAATTGCCTTTCTCACGGAAGTGACGTCAGTTTCTAAATAAACGAGGGCTTGTCCAGAAATTTTGAAAATGAAAGTAAAAATAAATAAATAATATGGGAGAATGATAATAACAATCTAGAAATATTAACTTCATTATTAACAGTCTGAAAGATTGGGCTGTTTCATTCACATCAATTGTAACCTGATATATAATTTTACTTCTAACACGGTTACGCTGAGCAGAAAGAAACTGCAATATTTCTTGTATTAACACGAGTTTATACCGTTATTTCTTGTATATTTTCAGATATAGTTTTGATGGTTTTGATATGGATTGGGAATTCCCCGCTACGAGAGGGAGTTCCCCTCAAGATAAATATAGATTTACTCTCTTAATGAAGGTAAGTAGTTTGAGAATTCCCCGCTAGGTATTAGAGGGTGAAAGTTCACATCGGGCCGACTCTCGAAAGGACGCGCACAGGCATCAAAAATGTTCTTACCATGAGGAGGATTCGAACCCACGACACCTATTCGCCTAGCAGACGACAATCGAAATCGCTACCGACATAGCTATTCCACTACCACCAAGGACAGTGTTCCAACTCAGCGTTACAGGGAAATATTGGGTTAGGGTTTCCTATCGTCCATGCCCTCACAGTTTATTTATATACCACCACTCTGGGCTCTGAGTCAGTCATTGTGGGTCGTTTGTTTCAGAACACCTCTATTAGCACGTTCTACCTGATTATATTCCAGGAATTGTACGAGGCCTTCGCACGTGAAGCTGAAGAAAGTAACAACGAGAAGTTATTGTTGACCCTGGCGACAGCTTCCGGTACATATTATATAAACCAATCATATGAGCCAGAAAAAATTATCAAGTAAGGATAAGTACATGTTGATATATTAAAATATTATCAAGTAAAGAACAGTACATGTTGATATATTATAATATTATCAAGTAAAGAACAGTACATGTTGATATATTATAATATTATCAAGTAAAGAACAGTACATGTTGATATATTAAAATATTATCAAGTAAAGAACTGTACATGTTGATATATTACAATATTATCAAGTAAAGAACAGTACATGTTGATATATTATAATATTATCAAGTAAGGAACAGTACATGTTGATATATTATAATATTATCAAGTAAAGAACAGTACATGTTGATATATTATAATATTATCAAGTAAAGAACAGTACATGTTGATATATTATAATATTATCAAGTAAAGAACAGTACATGTTGATATATTAAAATATTATCAAGTAAGGAACAGTACATGTTGATATATTAAAATATTATCAAGTAAAGAACAGTACATGTTGATATATTAAAATATTATCAAGTAAAGAACAGTACATGTTGATATATTATAATATTATCAAGTAAAGAACAGTACATGTTGATATATTATAATATTATCAAGTAAAGAACAGTACATGTTGATATATTAAAATATTATCAAGTAAAGAACAGTACATGTTGATATATTAAAATATTATCAAGTAAAGAACAGGACATGTTGATATATTATAATATTATCAAGTAAAGAACAGTACATGTTGATATATTAAAATATTATCAAGTAAGGAACAGTACATGTTGATATATTATAATATTATCAAGTAAAGAACAGTACATGTTGATATATTATAATATTATCAAGTAAAGAACAGTACATGTTGATATATTATAATATTATCAAGTAAAGAACAGTACATGTTGATATATTATAATATTATCAAGTAAAGAACAGTACATGTTGATATATTATAATATTATCAAGTAAAGAACAGTACATGTTGATATATTAAAATATTATCAAGTAAAGAACAGTACATGTTGATATATTATAATATTATCAAGTAAAGAACAGTACATGTTGATATATTATAATATTATCAAGTAAAGAACAGTACATGTTGATATATTATAATATTATCAAGTAAAGAACAGTACATGTTGATATATTAAAATATTATCAAGTAAGGAACAGTACATGTTGATATATTAAAATATTATCAAGTAAAGAACAGTACATGTTGATATATTAAAATATTATCAAGTAAAGAACAGTACATGTTGATATATTATAATATTATCAAGTAAAGAACAGTACATGTTGATATATTAAAATATTATCAAGTAAAGAACTGTACATGTTGATATATTAAAATATTATCAAGTAAAGAACAGTACATGTTGATATATTATAATATTATCAAGTAAAGAACAGTACATGTTGATATATTAAAATATTATCAAGTAAAGAACTGTACATGTTGATATATTACAATATTATCAAGTAAAGAACAGTACATGTTGATATATTATAATATTATCAAGTAAGGAACAGTACATGTTGATATATTAAAATATTATCAAGTAAAGAACAGTACATGTTGATATATTAAAATATTATCAAGTAAAGAACAGGACATGTTGATATATTATAATATTATCAAGTAAAGAACAGTACATGTTGATATATTAAAATATTATCAAGTAAAGAACAGTACATGTTGATATATTATAATATTATCAAGTAAAGAACAGTACATGTTGATATATTATAATATTATCAAGTAAAGAACAGTACATGTTGATATATTATAATATTATCAAGTAAGGAACAGTACATGTTGATATATTATAATATTATCAAGTAAGGAACAGTACATGTTGATATATTAAAATATTATCAAGTAAAGAACAGTACATGTTGATATATTT